TGGCTTCATATTTTCTCTAAGAATCAGAATGTCGTCGTAAATTGCATACTAAAGAGAAAAGAGTTCTGGACAGGTGTGCTTATGAGTCTTTGTTTAGTCTTGCTTCTTTGACTCTTCTCCACTGGAGCTACTGTGCAGAAGATGGTGGGGGTAGAGGACAGGGACTTGGGCTGTGAGTAAGTAATGAGGGCTAGGTTGAGTTAGCTTCAGGTTTGGTAATACTAGTTTTCTAGGTCAGGAAGTTGATGCTTGAAAATAGATTTCCCACAGCACACAAATGGAGTTAGCCAGACAGTGATTCTTGTGGCAGAGAGCACTTCCAAAAACCTGATCATGGGAATGAAGAATAAATCAGTGTTTTTGTTTTGTTTTGTTTTGTTTTGATCTTAAAGCCACGAGATGTACTTAGAGACAGAATGAAAGCTGGTTTAGAAAGACATAGGTAGGAGATTTAGCCTGAAGCACCCTTTATTTGTGCCCATATTCTTGAAAAGGTTTGGAAAAGCACTAGCTTTAAAATACTGATTTCTGAAGTATAGGGAATTTGGTGATTTAAAGGCCACTATTGCCTTATTTGGAAAAATAATGGATCTTTTAAAAACTTTATTTAGCATAAAATTGTTATTTTACTCTTTATTGGTAGTATATAACATAAGTTTAATTCTTTTCTTTGGGGTTACAAGTCTCACTAGCAAAAGTGCTGATCTCTAACACTTGTTAAGTTATTGTGGGTATGATTTGTAAGTTTTCACTTAGTTCATCTAATGTATTAGCATTTTTATTTTCCGTTGATAGGGTCTTAATCTAATACAAACAAGTCAGTTTTTAAGCAAAATATATATTCTTATTATTTTCTTTAAGTATATCTTTAAGAAAAAATACATTTATCTTTTTGGAACAGGGTCATTATCGTTATTGTGATGCTCTTTCTATGCTGGGGGAATATGACTGGGCCCTGCAAGCAAACATAAAAGCTCAAAAACTCTGTAAAAATGACCCTGAGGGAATCAAGGATCTAATTCAGCAGCATGTAAAGTTACAAAAACACATAGAAGACCTGCAAGGTATTTCACCTAAGATTCTTTTGGTTACAGTTGAATTCCCTTTAAAATTTTTGAAGGTGGGTTTCTTGGATTAATGAAGGACCAGAGTCACTTTTGAGGTGATTTGTATTTCTTTCATTATGTTATCTTTGTGAAGTCGCTTACATTTTCCTCCATCTATAGCACTATAATAGTGTTATATTCCATTAAGTAATCAGTTGATTTGAAATTTTGTTTGAAACAGGCATCAACAAATTGTTACTACCTTGTGAGAAAATATGCCTTCTTGAAATTTTGCATAAAGGAAAGCCTTTTTGTAAACTGTTTATTTCCCTCCTGTTATTGAAGTTATTCCCTAAATGTAAGACTCTTCAGGAGAGTTCCTTCATGTTTTTGTTTGGCTTATTCTATAACATTCTGAACGTAGACATATGTCAGCATAGGTTGTACAGTCCTGGGACTCTAGATTTTCATTCTGCCCTTATTTTCTCACCTGTCACGTTGTTTTCGCCAGTGCCTGAAACTCCTTACTCTGCACTTTAAGTCTGTTGTAGGTCTTTCCTGCTTTTCCTTCTTTGGATATTTAGTGTTTTAGGCAACTGAGCTGAGTAGTTCTATTTCACTAGCAGATGTTGTCGTTTATATGACTTGATCTAAGATTGTGAACTCTTTGAAGACAAGTGGCATCTCTGATTCATAGTTGTATGTTGCATCTAGTCAGTGATCACATGTAAAGGTTTGTGTAACATTTTGCTGACACTGCCCTCAAACTTAGACATCTAGATATATCAAATTGCTTAGGTTTATTTTTCAGTTCTCTGTCATTGATGTTCTTATGATCAGGCTAAAGGAAATTTGAAAATCTTTTCAAATCTATATTGACCAATTCACTGATACTCTTTGTGTGTGTGTGTGTGTGTGTGATTGATTTTCTTATAGGTCGAACACCAACTAGGAATCCAATTAAAGCCTTTTATGAAAGCAGGTGAGTTAATGTCAGTCAGGTCAGTAACTGTTGTTACTTGGAATGGCTTTGTTCTGTGAGAATAAGAACCACTTTGATGCTTTACTAACATGTCCACAATGGCATAACAGTGAAGTCTGGGATGGAAGGAAAAGAGGTGATTTTTATATGCTCCTGTGTAAGATCAGCTGACTGTGATTTGGCTGATTTATTTTGCCAACTTTGATAACAGCATGCACATGCATGTGTATGTGTGTATTTGTGCATATATGTCCTAACTCTTTGGATACTGAGGGATGAACAATTAACTGAATATTAACTATACTTTACCAGCCCAGTTTTAGCCCTGAGGGCACTGGCAGCAAAGAGCAGGGCACTGCTTATGCTTTTTACCCTCACACCTGTTCTGAAAACAGCTACCACTAGCCTTCCAGCATCGTTTTAAAGGCTAAGACACCTCTTTTGAGAAATAGGCAACAGATATACTTGACTATGCTGACAGAAAACAAATAGCTTATTTGTCCATTAAGATAGATCAAGCTTTTCCCACATACTTTGTATGTGTAAAATACTGATTCTCTTTTGTGTAAAACAGGGAGACTGGAAACCAGAGTACAATTCTTGAAGTGTTCCTAATTTGTTTTCATAATGTTACTATACACTGTTATTTCAATAAATTTTAAAATTCTATCTTATGTTTTTAATGCCAAATTTAAAATAGTATTTATGCATAAAGCAGTTTCAGAGCTAGAGATTCTTCTTAAAGCAACATTATCATTGGTTTTAAGGAAAAAATTTATAATTATGACAGCTTTTTTGCTTAAAGGATAGCTTTTAAAAATTCATATTAGTAAGAATAAAGCGACTGTTCCTTTTATCCCCACTCAGGGCCTACATACCTAATTTAGCAGCACCTGCTTTTAGTACTTCACTTAACTTTGTGGAGACTGAAAAAGATTCCAGAAAAACTAACCACGAAATGGCAAACGGTGGTAATCAGAATCAAAAGGTAGGTGCAGTTTAAAATTAAAATAATCCCAAATATAGATGGTCCCATGTTTTTACAATTATATTTTGGTGATTATGGAAAATTTTGGGTGATGTTCTGAACATTCCTGTTGATATCAAGAGAGCAATTCTCTCTCTCTTTTTTTTTTAAAGATTTATTTATTTGTGCATACAGAACTGGGGTACAGGCCAGAGGCTCAGGGGTGGTGAGAGGCTTCACCAGAGACAGAGTGAGGAGCAGAACAGGCAGATCGACGAAGTACACTGCTGAGGGGAGCAGCGGGTGGGTCAGGAGAGGTCTGCCACGCCATGTGGTCACCCCCAGGGCAGGCGGGAATCGAACTCATGCGGAAGCGGCTTTAGATTCTCAGTGTTGTGCTTTAACCCGCTGCGCCACCAGGGAGGGCCGCAATTCTCTTTTTAGTAAATAATTTGATTACTTCCTACAACTACATACAGATATTTCAGCATCATAGAATTTTCTTATGAAATCAGATTTGTGTGTTTTCAAAATATTTTCTCTAAGTATCATTGTGCCACTTGGATAGTTCTCTTTGCATGGCTTCATGTCTTCCAGTTGGTCACTTGGGAGTAAGGGACAGTGGGGTCTAGTGGCCAGCTCACCTGACCCCTTATAATGCTTTGGATTTTTCTCTTCCTCCCATTTCCCTTTTGCAGTTTACTTGACTGGCTGGCACTGCCCCAGCTCACCCACACAATTCGTGCTGTGCTGGGCCTGGGAGGCACCTCATCCCCATCTCTGCCCAAGGTATTTCTGCAGCCTCTGTTGTTCTTAGCAGTGGTGCTTGGCAGAACCTTGGTTTGGTGCTTTCTTCTGGGCCCCTCTAGGCTTCCAGCCTGGCTCTGTGATCAGGGTCCCAAGTGATCTCTCCATGAGTTTTCCCCTTTCCTGTAGTGTACACAAAGCTCAGCAGATACCTCCTGGAGCTCCTGGAGGCTGTATTCACTGAGGGAAGGGGCCTTAGGAGGGATGTGATGGTATCACCCAGCATACTCTGTCAGGAGATGGCAGAAATGGGATTATCATGGAGAACGTGACAAGTTATATCATACACTCTTATCATTAGTGATTATTTTGTTTGTTTATTCATCTAGGCCTAATAACCAGCTGGGTATTCTAGGAGCATGCATAAATTGTGTCTTTTTTTTATTGTATTATTTCACTGTAGAACTCTTTATATTGTATTTTTTGAAGTCTCACTGATTTTATTTTCATGGGTAGGTGATAAATGAAGCTTTGAAGGTGGATGATTGTGACTGTCATCCTGAACTTCTACCACCAACAGGTGAGTCTTTTTTCTTAGGTAATTTGTTCCTGAATTACATCAACTTTCATACCTGAAATTTGCACCAACCCTGCTTATATTTGCTGTTGTTCTCTTCTTTATAAAGTAGAGAAACCATCAAATACCTACTTGAAATCAATGCTTAATTTTTCATATTATTTAATAAATTTAATTTGGGGAATTAAATTAAAAAAGGTTAGGAACAAAGTAAGAAACTCTTCTGGGTCAGCTATCTAATTCCTATTAGTTTGACGTTTCTTGACTTCCCAGAAGTCTTAGGCTTTTTTAAGTTTCCCCCATACAATTTTATACCACAGACACTGTTTATCTGTAATAATATATCTGTGCTTTATTTTAAAATTTGAATTTTTTTTCATTTCTCATAGTCACTTGTCACCCTGTCAAAAGGAGATAGTGTCTGTGGGAACTGCAGTGCTTGGTGGGGGCTTCTGCGCGTGTTAGATGCGCAGGTGAGGCAGGACCTTGTTTGACATCACAGGGAAGTAAACAGTTCTGGAGACACAAATATTCACACTTCTTTAATTTCCTTAGTTTCCCTCTATACTGCTATATATATATATATATTTTAAAGATTTATTTATTTGTGCATACAGAACTCTGGGGTACAGGCCAGAGACTCAGGGGCGTGAGAGGTTTCACCAGAGACAGAACAGGCAAATCGACAAAGTCCACTGCTGAGGGGAGCAGCGGCGGGTCAGGAGAGATCTGCCGTGCCATGTGGTCACCTCCGGGGCAAGCAGGAATCCAACTCATGCAGAAGTGGCTTCAGCTTCCCAGTGCTGTGCTTTAACCTGCTGTGCCATCAGGGAGGGCCTAAATTGCTATATTTTAATGGAAATTGTTTTAAAATTTATTACATGCCTTCCTGCCTTCTAAAAAATATTTTAGGCCCTCCCTGGTGGCGCAACGGGTTAAAGTGGTGATTATTGTTAATTTGAAGTCACTATCTTTTCTTCCCATGTAAATGTAAGCTACCTGAATAAAGGAACATGGAACTCTGTTCTGTATCTCTTGGCATGATCTAAATAATAATCAAGATTTATCTTTGTAATAATTTAATAGCATATATAGAAAAACATCATCAGTAACTTCTTTTGGCCTAGCTGTCTATAGTTATATTTACGTGTAATATTGTCTTCTTATTCCAGATTTAAACTGATTTGTTTTTCGAAGCTTTTAGCGTTTTATGTACAGATTTCAAGTACAGATATTTTTGTATTCACAGCTCCGCCTCCAAAATACAAAGGAAAACAAAAATCCAGAAACAATGAGTTGGATAAGTTCAGGTATGTTTTTGATGTAAGATTTCTGTTTGTTTTTCCTAATGTTCTCTTTCCAAGAAAAAACAGACAAATCTCTTTTTCAAGTAATGGATACCTTTACACAGGTATATTATGATGAGTACTGGGTACTTCAATATTTTTTAAATGTTAAAGGCACTTCTTTAGGAGAGAGTTATTTTGGAGTTAAAGGATTATTAATCCTGGATGTTTAATACTGTTTCTCAAAGTCACTATTGTATGGAAGTGATTTTCTTAAATTCCAAAATGTGTAGTCATAAGAGGAAAATTTACTCAGAATTACAGGATGAAAATTGCCTCCTTCTCTGGTCACCTTATTTCACCTTTCCCACAGTTTCTTGTCTAGGCTTCCTTTCATCGCTTTTTATTATTACTTTCTTAGCCATTTGGAAGTTTAATATGCATGTATAGACGTGGGGATGTGATACTCAGGAACCCTTTTGAGTAATTATCACTAGAGAAAGTATTCGCTAATGAACTGACCACATGTAAAACTCATTTACCAAATACACATACACACCCCTATCCCTCCCTCTGAAATTAACACTTTAATGCTTGCTACCTAACCCATCATGCCCCACAAAGGCATACACTGATGGCAAAGTAAAATTGGAAATCTTACAACAGATGCAGCAGTGCGATAAGTCAGTGAAAGGGATGCTGGAAAAAGTGCAAAGCCATTTCTGCGAGTTATACCAGTTACCCGTTTTCTTTATTACTTTTTTTTTTAAAGATTTATTTATTTATGCATACAGAACTGAGGGGTACAGGCCAGAGGTGCAGGGGCGGCGAGAGGCTTCACCAGAGACAGCAGGTTGCAGAACAGGCAGATCGACGACGAAGTACACTGCTGAGGGGAGCAGCAGGCGGGTCAGGAGAGGTCTGCCGCGCCATGTGGTCTCCTCCAGGACAGGCGGGAATTGAATTCATGCGGAAGTGGCTTTAGCTTCTCAGTGCTGTGCTTTAACCTGCTGCGCCACCAGGGCGGGCCTCTTTATTACTTTTTAAAAAAAATATTTATTAATTTATGCTTACAGAACTGGGTTACAGGTCAGAGAAACAGAGTGGGGAACAGAGCAGGCAGATGACTGAAGCACACTGCTGAGAGGAGCAAAAGGTGGGTCAGGAGAGGTCTGCCATGCCACATAGGTCAGCTCCCTGGCTGGGCTTCTGCGAGCTTGATAGTGCCGAGATTTAACCCATTGTGCCACCAGGGAGAGAGCCCCTTTTTCTTCATTTCTTAAGGATGATTCCTTGATAGGTGATTCAAGAATGTTGATAGAGCTCATTTTAAAAACAAATGACCATTTTTAAAATGCTGCTAGAAAGGTTAATAACTGGATAGGAAAACATCACATGTCTTTCCCATTCCCCAGAAATCCCCACCACCAAAGAAACGAAAACTCAGTACATCATCACTCTTTGAATGTAATTACAATTTTAATCAGTTCTGTTAAAGATAAATTGTTTTCCTGATACAAATTTAATCAGTTTTGTTAAAGATAAATTGTTTTCCTGGTACTCTGTTTTCTGTCTTCAAGCTGAAGCCTTTTTACCACATGGCTTATTTCACAGTTAAGTGGGAGGACCAAGTATCTTGTGTATTTTCACATAGCAGGCCTTGGCGCCTGCAGCCTTCATTTTCAGAGCCGTAGATTATTTCATGGTATAGATGTACATTAGGAGAAGTTTCTGGAGTAAAATTGCTCTGTTAAAGGGATATATAAATTTTTTAAAAGATTTATTTATTTATTTATGTTTACAGAACTGGGGCCAGAGATGTGGTAGGTGAGAGGATTCACCAGAGACAGAGTGGGCAACAGAACAGGCAGATATATTAAAACACACTGCTGAGGGGAGCAGTGGGTGGGTCAGGAGAGGTCTGCCACACCATGTGGGTCAGCTCTGGGGATTGGGGATTGAACTCGTGCTGCAGCAGCTTCTGAGAGTTTCACGGTGTGGAGCTTTAACCCATTGGGCCACCAGGGAAAGCCTGGGATATATAATTCTTAATTTGGTAGCTACTGCCAGAATGCCCAGCCCAGAAAACAGGTATTGTTCATATTCCTGATAAACTGTGAAGTCATGTGATTTAATAAATATAGATATATATCATCAACACTCTGTATCTATGGGTTTTGCATCAGCAGATTCAACCATCTGCAGTTTGAAAATACTTGTACTTATCTAGATAACGTATATCTAAGTTAGACCTGCTGTGGTTGTCTGTACTGAACAGAGACAGATTTCTTTTCTTGTCATTATACCTAAATAATAGAGTATCACAATTATTTACAGAGAATTTCTGTTATAATAGGCATTGTAAGTCAGCTAGAGATGCTTTAATGTATGCTGCAACATGTAAAATACTATGCTGTTGGCAGAGCTCTTGCATGGCATTGACTGGCATCTGGACTTTGACACCGAAAGGCCTGTGAAAGCACATGTACCTTGGGGACGCTCTAGAGAGCTGGCTTTGGGCTCCAAGAATGTGAGAAAATAGGTCATGCGAGCAAGCAGCCACGTCTGAGAAAGATAGCCAAAGAACTTATCAAGAGAAGTGGCGGATGGGTGCGAGGGCTTGGCCACCTGGGGCTGGACACGGTGTTCCAAGAATTAGAACACCAGATACAGAAGTAGAATACGTTAATATGCTGTTGTTACTGCTTGAGACTGTCTAGACAGATTCAGTCAGTATGTTATTGCTTTAGCTTGTGAATGTAGAGTATATGAAGAGTACGCTGTACAATAAAGACTCACTGCATGCTAGCCATAGCAGTCATCCCCCTGGTTCGTCCTTTACAGGCGCGCCCCAGGTCCCGGACCTATTAGAGGTTCACACTATGCCATTTTGTATAAGAGACTTGAGAGTCCATGGATTTTTGGATTTTGAGGGACAACTGTTTTAGTCTTTGCCCGTAATTCATGCCACAGAACTTCTAAAGCCATAGGGATTTGTTGAGTAATGTGTCTTTTGTTATTTATAATGACCCCAATCTATACCTGAGATGATTCAAGACTGGACTTGATGTCTTCAGAATTAGGCCTGTTCACCAGTCTTATGATTAGAAGTTGGAACATCCAGCACTACATCCTGATTACTAAGAAGGGGAAGAGGGCTGGAAATTCATTTCAGTCACAGCAACCAGTAATTTAGTGAAAATCTCCACAAACACCAGAGCTCAGGGAGCTTCCCGATTGGTTAGTATATTGTGAGGCTGAGAAGGTGGTGTGCAGGGAGTTCATGAAAGCTGTGTGGCACTGCCCCACTCCGTACCTTCCCACTCTTCTTCCATTGGACTTTCCCGGAGCTAAATATAAAAAGCTGGTGATGTGTTTGGGTCCAGGGTCTGGCTGAGCACCACTTTTAAGACAGAACTGAGTGATGTCCTGGTAGGAGGAAATCAGGTTTAATGAGGAGATGGTAGTGTGAGGAAATGTTGGACTACTGACCCAAAGGCCATTTCCCCAAACTGGAGAGAATCATGAACTTATGGGGGGGGGGGCGGTAAGACAGGGGAGAGATTTGCGTTGAGACGATTTCAGAAAATGGGTGTTTCTAAGCGCTGCTTCATGCCCCTCACCCTTTCCAGTTTGGTCTTGCCCAGATTTGTCATGGCACTGGTGGGTGTGTATTTTGCTGTGGCCCTGAGGCTGTGGCTTTGCCCTGTGCTCTGCCTCCATTTTGTTCTCAGCTGGTCTGGTTTTTACTTCAAGAAAAGTAACACAGGGCAAGTGCAAGGAACTTAAGGCCTCAGATTATGAACCTGTTATGTCTTATCGTTAGAGGTCTCCATGACATGGAACATCTTTGCTCTAAAACGTATTTTAGGACACATTTCTTGTTTTCAGACTAAGTTATTATTGACGACTGTAGATGTGAAATAACTTTAGATAATCAGTGCAAATCCATGTAATTTTCCCTCCAAAAGTTATTCTTACATGTAATTATTATTATCATTTCATCTGGTCTCTCTCCACCTCTAAGTTTATAGATATTTTTGTTGAGATTTCATTGGAGTTAAGAGATTAATTTGGGGAAAAGCTGCATCTTGGTAATATTAATATTTCTGTTCAGGAACTTATGACTCAATCTGTTTAAAATGATCTTTAGTGCATTTTTCTTTATTTACGCAGGGTTTTTAAAATTTTAAAACAAATGCTTTTCTCTTTTAGTTCTAATTCACAAGTGAGTTTACCAGTTGATTTGAAAAACATCTTGGAAAAACAGTTTTCTAAATCTTCCAGAGCTGCACACCAGGTAAAAAAGGTTTCTGTATTGAAAAAGCAAATTTTCTCAGGAAAATACTTTTTCTTAAAGATTTATTTATTTAAGCTTACAGAATTGGGATACACTGTGCCAGAGGTGTGGTGGGTGAGAGGAATCACCAGAGACAGTAGGAAGCAGAGCAGGCAGATTGACAAAGTACACTGCCACGCCACATGGGTCATCTCCCTGACAGGGGATGGAACTCGTGCTGTAGTTACTTCAGAGAGCTTCATAAAGCGGTGCTTTAACCTGTTGTACCACCAGGGAGAGCCCAGAAAAATACTTATAACATAAATAAAGTCTAATCATGTATCTCTCTATCATTGGATTTTCTTCATTGATTTATTTTTCATTTTTACATGTTTTTTACTTGCAAGATTTTAAAAAAAAAATAATATAATACTTTATTTTTTACATCACTTTGTGCCTTTTTCCACCTCAGTTGTAATCCCCGTGGGCTTCCCATCACCAAAACACCCATGTGCCATCACCATAGTTCTTAATAGATTTTATTGTGGACATGTAATTTAATATGTGGTTGCTAAGGAGCCAAACTATCACTAATTATATATTAAACTCAATAATTATGTTAACCAGAGATTTAATGAATGGTTAACATTGCAGAATTGTGTGCATCCCCCAAGTTTAAAGATTTTGTAATCTTTGCTTCCTGAAGTTAAAGTGGGATATTTTAAGATTTAAATCATTTTAAAAGATTTAAATACTTGTGGTTTCATCATATCTACTCTAAAACCATTAAAGAGTGAACTTATTTTTTGAAGGAATAAGAAGATAACTTTATATATAAAGCTTCTTTTTATAGTATTTAGTAAGGAGTGAAAAATGTACTTTAAGGGGAAAGAGACAGAGCATGATGGTATGGTGAGTCAATGTAGGTTCATCCTTGGTGAAAGCAAAATAGGTACCATTCTAGTGCATGGTGTTAGTGGTGGAGGCTGTATGTCTCTGGGCATAGGGGTAAGTAGTAACTCTCCAGAGCTCCCTTTCAATGTTGTTGTAAACCTTAAAACTGCTCATAAAAAGGTCCTAAAACAATGCAAGGGATACAACTAAAAGATCACCTTGAAGGAAATTCATCAAGCAAATGTATGGTATCAAAAGAATAAAAGACTTAAGTTAATGAATCTTCATCCCAAGAGCTATTAAAAAAAAGAATATCCAACAAATAAACCCAAAGAAAGACAAGAGAAAACAAAGAACACAGTAGAAAATAATGAAATGGTAACAAAACTATAATTAATTCACACAGCTAAAAGTTGATTCTTTTGCAATATAAAGTTTACAGCCTGTGATAAAATTGATAAAGAAAAACTGAGGACTCCGTGAAACAGTTTCAAGAAAAAGGGTTCCATGACAACAAAACCTTCAGTATTAACAGATGTATCAAAATACTATTTGAACAACAACTTAATAAGAAATTTGGAAGTAGATAAATTTCTACAAATATCTGGCTTCAGAAACTGACTGATGAAGGAATAGAAACCAGGGTGGGCTCCACTGGACACATGTGGACTCTGTGGTGCCAGAGTAAGGTTCTCTTGTCAGAACAGAGGAGTACCACACACATTTGCAGTTTCTACTCCTGGAAGAAGAAAGAGCGCCTGTGTGTGGCAAGTAGTGAGTAGATTTAATTTCTGGTCGCAGCTCTCAAATTTTCATGGGACCTTTGTTGCATTTATCTATCACCAAGTAACTGAAATCTGAACTCAAATTATCTTTCTGCACAGATGTATTCAAATTACAATTTCTTTTCTCACTTTTGTTTGCAGGATGCATACAGTTTTTATTATTATTATTATTATTATTATTGTTATTTATGCTCTTCCTTTTGCATTTAACCTCCTAATCTCACTCCCAATAATTTTACCTGGTTCTATCCAAGTATGTGTTAGTAGGAGTAAAGCTAAAATTTGAGGTATTTATTTCTTGCCAAAAATGAAGGTTTGTTCAGGGCATCAGGGCAGTTGTCAAAATCTGATGGTGATCAGGAAATTATTTGCTCTAATGTGTCTAATTTTTCTGTTCACAGCCAAATAGATTTACTTATTTAAATGGTGCCTTGTATTCTCTATTCTGTTAACATTTTAAAATACTGTCTGTCTAGTCTGAGAAGTGTGCCAGCCCTGAGCACCATGTTATTTGAAATGGACTATTCTTTGTGGCAGTCACAGAGGCACTGGAAGTGAGATGGTGATGTGCTCTCTTTTCATGTTCACTTCAAAGGTGCTGTGAGGCGAAAGGAATATAATGTATTAAAAAGTGACTTCTGGAATTTGGATTCAAATTTATGGCCAAGCATATAATACTAACTGCTAAATGATGAACTTTGGCATTTTAAGTTTTACACTAAAAATTTATAGCTCTGGTTCTCAGAAATGGTTTTTTTTTTTCCTTCAGGATTTTGCTAATATAATGAAAATGCTGAGAAGCTTGATCCAGGATGGTTACACGGCTCTGCTAGACCAGCGCTGCCGCAGTGCTGCACAGGCCTTCACAGAGTTGCTCAGTGGCTTAGATCCTCAAAAAATAAAGGTGAAATTGTTGCTTTGTAACTTGTTTAGCAGTTCACTGTGTTCAGGTGAATGTGTGAGAAAATCAAGGGTTTTGCTGTTATGATAGTAACACTTAGATCTTGCCAAGGTCGGCTGACCTGACTCCAGACTGTGAGTAGTTGCTGATGTCCACTTCGACCTCTGGCTACACTCAGAGGACAGCCGGTGTCAGACTCTCCCAGTGTGCTTGACTGTTCATGAGAACTCCTGTGCTTCTGTTGTATAAAGTACTAAATCCTGGATTTGGACTCATTTTAGTCAGTCTTTTCACCTACAACCAAAGTATTAGGTTGAGGGAGAGGAATTGCCCTAATCTGTATCAGGCAGCTAGTGGGAGTCTGTTTATATTTGTATAAGTGGAGGGCTTAATGTGTCATGATAGACCTCGGAAACATGTTGAGGAAAAAGGCCGTGCACGTCGTGAGCCATGTCTTCCACAAACTCTGAAACAGCAATTCTGCGTATTAAATATTTGATAGCTATGGGACTGCTTATCTTTGCAAAAAACACTTTCTGGTTCTCTTTGACTTTTATTATAATTGTGTTGATTAGTGAGATTTCGTTACCCTTCTTTTCCTGTCATAGCTAAAAGGTTGGTGTGGTGCACATTGGGCAGTCTTAGTCTATGTTTAGAATTTAACTGAAACATTTTTATTGACAGCAATTGAACCTCGCCATGATTAACTATGTCTTGGTAGTCTACGGACTTGCCATTTCTCTCCTTGGAATCGGACAGCCTGAGGTAAGATTTGTAACAGAGCAATAAACTATTAAAATATCCATTGATTTTAGGAGATAATGTCAAAATAGTTTACCCCTTTGACTTACTTTCTTCTTACTTCCTTTTTGGTAATTGTTTCTGAACTATCTAAGTTTAGATTTTTTTCTTTTTAAAGAAAATTTAATTTGTGCTTCTATTAGAAAAAAATCTGTATCAGGCAACCAGTGGAAGTCTGTGTATACTTGTGTAAGTAGAGGACTTCATGTATCACAATAGATCTCAGAAACATGTTGAGGGAAAAAGGCAAATTAGAAAACAAAAGTGTATTATTGCTTATAAAATTTGGAAAACCTACAGAGTAATAGTACATATTGTTTATGGCTGTCTGCATCTTGTAAAAGCCATGGACTTGCACTAAGTCAAATAAAATAATGGTTGCATTTAGTGACAGAAGGGAGAAAGGGACCTGGAAATGTTAAGAAAAGATCATTCAGTTTTGTGTTAGGCTGTTTTATTTAAAATCTTAAAAATTCCAATATTGATATCTCCTAGTTCTACTTAGTGAGCACTTAGGGTTTTATTATTTTCTGGAGTGCAGCCTTCCCATGATGCACAGTGTGTAACTGAGTTGACATGATTTCCATTATTCATGTCCCTTGGCTGCTCTTCTGCAAAGCTTATTTAAGCTGCACTGTTCTGTATTATACTTTACTGTCTATGGTTTTGAGTTTTTGATAGAGGTTGAAGTGACTCTTGAATTACTTCAGCTACAGTATATCCTCTCTACCAATTTGGGCTCTAAGCTTCTCCGCCTAAATGAAAGCTTGACCTTAATTGCTAAGCAGCAAGGTGTTGCTTAGATTACACTTCCTCAGTGGTCCTCTGCTTAAGGGTTTTTTCCTTATGTTGTACTTCTTTTTGTGTTCTTATGTAATGGCTTCTATGGAGGCCTAATTTGTCCTTTAATATGTTGTTAAAGAGAGTGCTCCATTTTCTTAATTTTTCTATTTTTGGCAGGTAATAGTAAATATTATGTTTACCTTATCAGAATTGAAGGAATATTTCATTAATGATTTATTGTGAAGTAGTGAGATTAATTTAAAAAAAAACAAACCTGCAGGTATGGTAGAACTTAGATTTTGAAAAGAATTTCATCATTCAGTGTAGCCTTAGAGAATATGGCACGTTCACTCCAGTACCACCTTTACTTAAAACATGCATGGAATGCCTCCTTCACAGCTGGCCACAGAGTGACTTAGAGGCTCCACTTTGCGGTGACATTTCTTTTTTTTATCCACAATAGAGTTACCTCTATGCTTTGAGCATAGTCTTTGCATATTTTTCCTAAGCAAAATGCATTTAAAGCAGATTTCCACTGTTGAGACTAATCAAAAGGATGTATGCTAAGCTCTATAAATCTTTTTCTAAAGAGCTGTTTTTAAGACAGAGCATTTTTCTGCTTTCAAGGGAGCAGAACTTACCAGAGGATGGGTGCTTTGGTGTGTTCACACCCAAATCAGTCTTTTACGCAAATTTACACCTTTAAGTGCTAACTGGCACACACCAGACCCTCCTGTGTCTGTCAGTAAATACTTACTTAGTTGATTGTCTGGTGGATCATGCTCAACTTTTAATTCTCAGGCTGGATCACTTTGGTTGTGTTTCTGAGTATTCATATAGCTAATATATATAATTATTAAGGTAATTTTGCCATGGAAATTTTTAGATGTACAGTTGTTTTTAATATTCCATAAGAAGCATGAGCCTTCAGATAAAATCTGTTCCAGCAGTTCTCTTTTTGTGTAAGCATTGTTGTTACTATTGTTAAAGGAATTATCTGAAGCTGAAAACCAATTTAAAAGGATGATTGAACACTACCCAAATGAGGGACTTGATTGCTTGGCCTACTGTGGAATTGGAAAAGTATATTTGAAAAAAAACAGGTTAGTAGAAACTACTTCTGGAATTATTTGCTATCTTCTCCTCGGCACACTATTATAATTTGTTTACTTTGAGGACTTGCATTTCAACACTAATTATTACAGGAAGGCTAATTAATTCAGCCCCTAGTGCATCATGAAATTTTGAATCAAAAATAAATAATAGAGTAATTTGACACAAAGAATTTTAATTATCTTTTGGTATACATCATTTATCAATGGTGACTGAATTGGTTTTAATTAATGCTTCACACGTCTGTATAATTTTTTTGTTAAATACCTGTATCTCCAAAAATCCTGTACAAAGGTGGTTTTAATGAGAGTCATATATAGTATATGTTCAAAGACATCTTGAGTTAGGAATAAAAATCTCCTTTTAAACTTACAGTTGTAAGTTTATATGTTTATAAGTTTATATGTTTGTTAAGTTAATGTTATATGTTAATGTTAAATGTTTATAAGTTTATATGTTTGCTAAGTTAATGTTAATATGTTTGCTAAGTGAATGTTTCTTATACTGTCTCTCCAAATTGCTGTACAACCCTTAGTGGGGACAGGACTATGCCTCGAGCTTTAACTGGTATGTAGGTATGTGAGGTTACTTTATGAAGCCATTATTCACTGATTGGATATCATGCATAACTTCTAATAGCCTCTAACTAACTTTATAGAAAGAATTTTCATCTAACTTTATAGAAAGAATTTTATCAGACCATGAGTACTGTTGGGGGCCCAATATAGAACCTCCTTTACAGATTTTTAGAGTGGAGTAAATTGTTGTATATCCTGAAGTTACTGTCTGACTAGGCTGAACTATGTTAAGGCTCAAGTAAAGGCAAGGGAAATGAGGAATGAGCAGTCACTTATAAAGTAGTACCAAAAGAATTGAGTCTCAGAGTTGGACTTCAGTGTTGAGGACATTATCTTTACCTGGTAGTGCATGCAAGTGTTCACACAGTCTGGGAAAAGAACAAAGCAAAAAAATCACAAGGTATGTGATAAATGATACAGTCTCCATGTTCAGAGGCAATCAGACTTTAATTTCATAATAATATGCTTTGGGGTTTAACATCTGTTGGGTTCCAGCCCCAACTATCGAGGTGAGGTGTCGGAGGGCCTTAAGATAGGAAGGCATCAGCTTTAGGCTAGCAGAGATTCTGAAAGGGGAGAGGGGGAGCGGGCGTGAGGAAGACACAGAAGTCAGAGTTGGGTGCAAATCTTCCTGCTCATTCCTTCAGCAGGTTTTTATTTATACTGTCTAGCAGGTAGTTAATTGCAACAATGCAATGGGGTAAGTTAATGAGAGATCACCATAAATTGTCATAACCGTTCTCAGGGACAAGGGAAACAAAGTATTTTTCTCTTAATATTTTATGGTATACTAAATTACACATTTTTGTGATAATGGTCATGTGTACAGACGTTTAGCTATAACTCAAGGTAAGAGGGGTCTGGGAAAGGATGAGCTTGTTAGCAAAAGGCAATTATTAGGCGTCTTAGGCAAGTAATAAATTGTGTGAGTGGTATTATCAGTGACTGTCTAAAGAAAAGCTAATTTAAGGCTAGCAGAGAGTAGTTAGTGCTTGTTTTAAAAAGGAGTAAATTAAAAGAAAGCTGTACAGTTGTGTATTAAGCAACACCTGTGTAAACAAGGTTAAAAATTGTCCATGAGTCCTTATGCCCAGGGAGTCTTATCTGAAATTTGCTTTTTTTTTTTT